CAATAATTGTCATCAAACAAAATGCTATCATTACATTAGCTAACAGACAAGCAGTTGCAGTGTTTTCTTCTATGCCTCATTAACAATGAGGGAAATTTCCTGCACTAATCATCTAAATATTAATTGATTAATTGATTGATAGAGAAATTAACCATCTATTTATTACTGTTTGCATGGCCAACAATGTGTCCTCTCTCATTTGTGATATGTTCCCACACAACCTGCAGGGATTCCCAGGGCCTGCAGGATTTGATGGAGAGCCCGGGTGTGCCAAGAAATCCAGGGAGAGCAGGAGGCCCAGGCCATGCATCCGCCCCGGGGTGAGTTTTTCTCAGCGTCAGTTACCTTGCAGTGGAGGAATACATACATTTTACAGCCATTCCTCTATGATATTTGAAACATTTATTTTGAATAAATCTCTTCCCAAAGGGAAAACCTAGTATCACAGATGGCCTCAGGCTTCAGTGAGAAGTCCGGTTGGGCTGGGATGGTGTCAGGATCAAGGGTGAGTGCTGCACAGTTATATCGGAAATGTTTCTTTTACATTTATACAATGTTAAGATCTTTATTTGTACAGTGAATAAAATGTTGCTATTTCAGGGTGAAGCAGGACCACGAGGACCTCCAGGATCGCCTGGATCACCAGTAAGTTTTGGCAATAAACATCTGAACATTTTAAATAATTGTAAGTATTAGTATTTCCTTGACGGAGTCGTTTATCTCCTCCATCTCTTCTTTAGGGTCCAAGCGGTGGTCAGGGAATTCCAGGAGAGGCTGGAGATCAAGGACTGATGGTAGGAACACATTTACATTTAGAACATTCAGTTGATTCTCACAAAGTTTAATTTAAATTCACCCGTGATTGAAAAGTTGTGCCAGCTGTAACGAGTTCTTTGCGTTTGTCTGCAGGGTGAGCCGGGTCATCGGGACCAGATGGCCACCAGGAAAAAGCTGGATCTGATGTGAGTCAAACATCCACACATTCCCATTAACTTTTAGTGTTACAAGTAATAATTTATTAAGAACAACTATTTCTCTTTTTTCCATTCAGGGAGAAGCTGGATCTGCAGGTGCTACAGGAGAGCCAGGATTTCCGGATCTGGGGTAACTAGTCGTCACTCAGTGTTCACACCAAATCTTTGAATTATTAACTATTAATCATAACCTAGTGACACAATCAAGCCCTGACATTTTTCCATTATAAATGTAGAATCTATCATAAGTACATCAAATATGATCTATATTAATTTAGTTGTTTAGTTGGAACGGTGAAAGATGGGACTTCATAGTTGATTTGATTGGTTGTTTTCTGTAGGGTGCAAGAGGATTCCCAGGACTCCCAGGTCTTCCAGGAATGAAAGGTCAAAAGGTGAGTCACATGTAGTTAAAGTCATACTTCCTCACTTCTTTTATTTCCTCTGTAAAATCAAGCACTGACCCGTTTCTGTGAATTTAAATCTCTTCAACAGGGACATTCTGGTCTTCTCGGGTCGAGAGGAGAGTCTGGAGCCCTTTGAAATAAGGTATGAATGTGTCACCTCATCAGGAGCTTCTCAAATTCTTCTTCTTAATATATTAGGATGGTTAAAACTCCACTAGAAAATAAAAACTGATAAAGGAATCTTTAACTCATACAGTGCTATAGAACCATATGATATATTATAACTAACTTTGAAAGACGGTGGACGTCTTTACAAAACTGCACATTTCAAACCTGAATTGTTCCTGTGTTGTTGTGTTTTGCAGGGTTCATCCGGTACTCCTGGTGCTATGGGTGCTCCCGGTCCACTGGTAGCAACACACACATTAAAAAAGATCAACACAGTATCTGACACAGAGTCACATGTCAGCCACACAGATACTGAGCCAGTCCTCTGTTTCAGGACCAGCGGCGGATGCAGGGAGAAAGAGGCAGAGCCGGCCCAACTGGGCCTGTGGTAAGAAGATAAAATCATCCATTTGAGAAAGTACAAAAACTGTAAAATGATGCTGCAGGATTTAGACATTTTCTCTTCTTTCCTATTTCAGGGAAAACGTGGAACACCCGGCCATGTCGGCAAACCAGGTCCTCTGTAAGGACTCATATCTACTGTTTACATGTGTCAAATCAG